ATTCTTGTTCTTTGTAATCTTGACTACGCTTATGCGTACAACTTATACTAATGGATTATGCGTGCTCGACTATCTCGTCAATCACGGCTGCTGCTTTACCAAAAGAGATCACTCCGCGAATTTTTGTTTCTGCACGCAAACGTGCTGTCGAAGATTTCATTTTGGTCTGGCTTGATGGTAATATCGATCAAGAGAGTGACAACGCACACAGCATCATCAAACATTTTCGCCAAATTGTTCATGAGATTCAAACGTTCACATCAGTCCAAGAATGTGTGAATGCCGTGACCGATGTCAAAGAAGAAAAAGTGATCATTGTCGTTTCGACTGAGCTCAGCTCAATCGTCGTTCCGATTCTTCACCCATTATCCGTTGTCGACTCGATCTATGTATTGTGCAATCAGAATAACACAGATAATGACAAACTATTGATCATAACCCATCGGAAAGTCAAAGGAATTTTCGTCGACACTCAGTTACTCTGTGAACATTTGAAAACAAACATGACACAATCAAAACACGACCTCCTTACCTTTGAGTTTGCCGGTTCAACGATACAAAAGCGCTTGGACGATGGAGAAGACAAGCAAGAAGCCACTTTCATGTACTTTCAACTATTCAAAGAGATTCTTCTCACGATGAAAGATGATGAGGATGATGACGACGACGACGACGACAATAGTTTAACAGAAATGATCAAATATTGTCAAAGTCAATACGTAGATAATAATCAAGAGCTTGAGCGGATAGCAGAGGTTGAACGCTCTTTTACGCCGGCTGCCGCAGTTTGGTGGTATACACGGGACTCTTTTGTGTACAAAATAATCAACAAAGCTCTTCGTACTCAAGACTTTGATGCCCTTTTTGCCATGCGGTTCTTCATTCGAGGTCTTCACGAGCAACTCGTGGAACTTCATAAAAGATCTTCTGATGGAAGTATCTTAACACTCTATAGAGGACAAGGTTTGTTCAATGCTGACTTCGAGCAACTAGCATCGAAACAAGGTGGACTTCTTTCGATCAACAATTTTCTTTCCACCACTACCGATCCGGATGTTGCTAATGTTTATGTTCCTCGGGAAGATCCAGAAAAAACTCCCGTGCTCATGATCATTAGAGCAGCGTTAAGCAAAAGCATGAACGTGCCTTTTGCTGACATTGACGCATTCAGTCAATTTTCAGGCAATGAGAAAGAATGGCTCTTCTCCATGGGTAGTGTTTTTCGAATCGACTCATTGAAACGTCAACGTGATGATGAAGTATGGACCGTCGAGCTGACATTGACAAGTGACAAGGATCCACAACTGACTCAATTAACCGATCATATGAGGAAAAAACTTGTTGATACAAATCCCTTTGTTCAGCTCGGTCGATTGATGGTGGAGATGGGTGCATTTGAGAGAGCCAAGTCTTTCTTCCAGAGGTCACTCGAAACAGAAGCGTGGTCATTCCGTTGTTCTGCGATCTTCATCAATCTTGGAGCAGTCCATTCTGAACTCAGGGATTTGGACAAAGCACTCAACTATTACCAGCTAGGTCTTAGCCAGAGTCTACACGATTTCCCCGAGGACCATCCGCGTCTCAGCCCTATCTACAATAATATTGGTTCGATTCATTGGAAACAGGGCAAACATGAACTTGCTCTCGAATACTATCAAAAGGCACTCAAAACTGCATTGGCCGCCCCTCGCCCTAATCAAGAGTTCATCGCGAATCGATACAACAACATCGCAACTGTATTATCATTCGAATATTTTATATTGAGTCTCATAAGGCAGCATAAGCAGACTTGCTTCGTTGACGAGATATCTGAACGGATTCATATTTGGGATGCAGGGTAATTATAGCGAGGCACTCAGCTATCACTATCGAGCTTTGGAGATTGATCTGAAAATTCTTCCGCCCACGGATCCATTGATTGCCGTGTCCTACCACAATATTGCTACTTGTCTCTATCAAATGAAGCGTTTTGAGGAGGCACTCGACTATGTGCAGAAAGCGCTGGACATTGATTTACAATCACTGCCTCCAGGCCATTCACAAACACAATGCCACCAATCCAACCTCGAAAATCTCATTAGTCTTATTCGCCCAGCAGTTACCGACTGTCAAGCTCGGCAAGATCCTGACTGATGATAGTTTTAAATTTCAGCAGCAGGTCATTGACTCTCTAAAAAATGGTTGCTGTGCGGACCTTAACTACTATCTTCTGAACTCATGTTCATGTATCCGCCACCACACCCACATCATCACATTCCACAACCACAACGCACACTGTAAAATATAGATGCGGAATAATAAACCCTTCAGAAATGTTTATTAGCGCATTGAAGCCTTTCGCATTCAAGTTTTGGAATTTATTAGCGTAATAAATCCTTTCATACACCTTGTAGGGTATATGAGCAGGAGTATGCGCTTGAAGGGCTTATTAAGTTAATAAATCCTTCGGAACACGTTCATGTATGTACCCTCCAGATAAAACCGTAAAAATCCCTTTTCCAAGGTTTTTTTTTAGCTTAATAGGTCCTTTAAGCTTATATTACTGCTCATATACCCTAAAAGGTTTATGACAGTGCAACGTATCGCATACCCGCCCTATGATTCAAGAACTAAAACGGTTTATGAGGCTAATATTCACTGTTAAAGGGTTAATTATTCTACGTCTATTTTATACAGTGTACGCCCACACCCACATTCGTTTGATGCAATAATAATGGACAATAGATTAAAAAATACAAAATTTATTCTGCTCAGTATTTGAACAAATTATACTAACAATCTAAGTGAATGTTGTTCGATCTTGTAATAATAAAATTGAATTTAAAATATGCCGTTTCAGGATAATGCTTCGGAAAAAATGAGATGTTTCGTTTAAAACGTTTTTAAATCCGAGTACAGTTTCACATCATCAATTCTTGTGATTTTTATAGATCTTGCAAAATTCACCATAGGAAAAAATACTTACAGCTATGATCGTTTCCATTGTTTTTGATTGTAATAAGCGAAGAAAAACAAATATTTTTCTAAAACAACATTTATTCATTCCACTTTGATAATAAACAGTGCATTCTACCTATTTCCGAAAGTGACACCAAAGACTGAAGTTATGTTTATTCAATGTATTTTCTATACACACAAGTCAAAATCAATGTGATTTGAAAGTTATGAATTTTTTCTATCGAGATTTTCGAAGAAACTCAATAAAGCGAGAAGAGTGAGCTCTCTAGTTTTTCTCCATTGTTGAATCAATCACGTCATCATTATATTCACATATATGATTTTTGTGTTGATTTAGATTTGTTTATTAAGTACATACAATCACAGCCGACTGCTTTTTCTCTTGATAGAGAGAAACGCAAAAAAACTCAGTTCTGTTGACTTGTTGTTTTGTTCGTAACAAGGAAGTATTAAGAAAGAAAAAAATCACTGTCTATACATTGAATCAAGTTGGTCGAACTTCAGTTTATCATGAGTACACTGTGATGAAGTTCTTTAGATTAAGCATCGACTAACAATCGTGAATGACGTCAAGAGAAAATTACACGCATACATGTTTTCATATCAATACTAATCATTAGCTCAAAAACAAACATGAAATTTACATTGAATACCGCTACTATTATATCGATACTTTGGGCGTTGTTTCTTCTTGTTATTATACAACCAAGTCACGAATACCTTTATACGTGTGATCTAAATGCAGCGTGTGGATGTTCATCGAACTCAGCATCAGTCAGTCGAATCATTGGTGGAGAAACAGCTGGAACAAGTACTTGGTGCTGGGCTGTGTCGATTTCTATAGGTGGAAGTTCATTATGTGGTGGGTCTATTTTGTCAAGTTCATGGATTCTCATAGCAGCTCATTGTATGAGTGGAGTCTCGGCATCACAAGTAACTATCTATGCTGGTTCAACCACTCGATTTTCTGGTCAATCTCGAGTTGCAACTGGTATTACAATATATATATATATATCCAGGGACGGCGGAAACGGGGGGGGGGGGGTTCCCCCACCACCTTTGGAAATTTTNGCCACAGGGGGGGGGGGGGTGCCCCCCTCCAACTTTGGAAATTTTGACTTCAGTTTTCCTCCGACTTGAAGAAAATTGAAGAGATTTTTTCTCCCAAATTAAAGATGGTCTCTCGGTAATAGAATAAAATTCAGAGGGATTTTCTGAGGCAAAAAAGGAAGATAATCTGAGATTTCCATTCAGAAAAATTTTAGTGTTCAGGCTCCATGAATTTTGGAAATATTTCTTGCAGTTCTCTTCGTTTTATGAAGATGGAAATGGTAGGTTTGTTCTCTTTTTCTTTCCTAAAACATTTTCTAGTAAAAAAAAACTGATAACAATTATAAGAAGAAATTGGTACATAAATTCTGTATTTGTGTTAATGTAAAATAACAATTTCTTCTACTTCATTGATACATAATTAGTCGCAGTCGGATTTATTAACCTAAGAAAAATGTGAATCAGCTCCGCCACTATCAATGCAAGCTTAAATCATTTTCATCGATTGTGGCGGATATTACTTCGGATATCGAAGCTGTTATTCGTTCATCGAGAAGCGTATCACGAGCTAAGACAAAGATGAATCTTCGTGGAAACGAATATTATCACGAATATTATCGAATTCTAATTTTACTTTTATTCTTTCCTTTGGTAAATGACGCATTAGTTTTTATCGTATCTGTATCTGTCTATTAAAAGTGTGAGAAGAATTTAATACAATTTTTTTCGGGTGACTTTTTCTTCTGATATTGGAGAGATTTTTTCTTATCGGCAAAATAAAGAATTTTCGCATAAAGTTAGTAAACTTTAATTTTTAGATTTAATATTAAAATGTCGTCTAGCTCTTCATCGGCAAGGAAATGCCCATTATGTTTTAAAAGTATTCTTGTAAAAAATTTTAAACGACACTGCAACAACACTCACAATACGATCGATAATGAAGAGAAGTATAAAAAATTATTTTTTAAATTTAAAGGAGACATCAGCAAGCAAGTACGACAATCACCAACTTCAGGTTATATTATTCATTTTCAATAACCATCTGATAACATTATATTTCTAGAAACGAGAACATCCAATGAACCTTTTAGATCACCAACAACATCCAATGAACCTTTTACATCGCCAACAACATCCAATGAACCTTTTACATCGCCAACAACATCCAATGAACCTTTTACATCACCAACAACATCAAATGAACTTTTAACATCAACACCATCAAGTGAATCAATAACAGATAGAATGGAAGTGCCAAATGAATCGATAACAGATACAAGTGAAGTGCCAAATGAATCATCATTAGTACCACCTATAGTGGTGCTTAAAGAACACGAAACCTCATATTATCGTCGATCTGATGTTGAAATAAAGAATAGAATATGTGGAGAAATTCAATATGCCGCAAAACAAGCTCAACTAGCTTTTAAAATTGCTGATATGGCTTTTGATGAAACAATTAGTACGAGAAATTTTTTAATTGAAGCAACATCATCAATTGGTAAATTGAACGAATCATTAACTGATTTATTAATTTCATGTAACGAAGAACTTGAACGAATTCCACTTACGTCAATAACTATCGAAGAATTAAAATCAACAGAAACTTTTGTGTCTCGTGATCCATCATTAACGAAAGTTTATAATGATCAAGAACTACGATATTTAGTTAGTCAAGGTCCATACCAACCTATTCTATTACAGTATCCGATTAATCAAGCATTTAGGCTAATTCATGATACATGTCATTTTAATCCAATATGGTACAAGGAATTTCCATTAATAGAATATAGTATTATAACTGATTCAATTTATTGTTTTTGTTGTCGTTTATTTGGCAGTGGACCTGGTACTGAACGATTAAAAAATGGTTGGACATCATCTGGTATGAAAACATGGAATAAAATGAAAGGTTTTATTAATAATCTGTTCAAAAAATGTTTTCATGAATCGTTGACTCATTTTTTTTATTGCAGCTAGTCAAGGTGCTGGAAAAAGGGGGAAAATATACGTGCACATCGAAAGTGAAGTTCACAAGTCTTCATTACAACGTTATTTGATTTTCAAAGAACGTAAAAATAATGTTGATTATATGTTAAATAAAAACCTACAACAACAAGAACAACAACAGATCGAACAACAGAAATCCAATCAACAAATCATTGAAATGTTAATTGATTGTGTACGATATTTAGCTCGACAAGGTCTAGCATGTCGTGGTCAAGAAGATCAAGATGGTAATTTTTATCAATTGGTTCATTTATTATCCCGACACAACTCAGTGTTGGAAGATTGGATAAAAAATATAAATAATCGTCCATATAAAGTAAATATATTACTACTAATCTCCTCTTCTAAATTAGGAAAATAATAAACTTTTCGTTCTAGATTACTTATATGAGTAAAGATTCTCAAAACGAATTTATACAGCTATTAGGCGACTGCGTGCAACACAAAAATTTATGTGAAATAAAAGAAGCTTCCTATTATTCAATTATGGCTGATTCTTCAATAGATTCCAATCGACAAGATATGTTATCTATATTTATTCGTTTTGTCAACAAAAATGGTGAACCTGAAGAGCGTTTTGTATCGATTAAGCCATTACACTTGAAAACCGGTAAGTTACTTGCTAAATTTAAATTATTTGTACCCACACGGAACCAAATTCGCCAAGAATCATAATATTTTTTACTAAAATGCGTTTCAGCCTAAGTCTGACGGTTTTATAAATCCTAAAGATATCTAGCCACGATTTCTTTGTGTTTAGGGGACGGTATTGCAAATCATATACTGGAAGTCTTAAATGAACTCGATTTAGATTTAGATAAATTGATTGCACAATCATATGATTGTGCTAACAATATGAGTGGTGAATTCAATGGTGTTCGTGCAAAAATTAATGAAAAATTACGACGTGATACAAAATATATTCCATGTTCATCACATCGATCGAATACAGTTGTTAAACATGCGTCTGAAGCTAGTTTGGACATATTTTCTTTCTTTGGAGTGCTTCAGAGCATTTATGTTTTTTTTACATCAAGCACAAAAAGGTGAGAATACTTTATTCAAGAAACAAGTTTTAATTTCTAGATGCATTATTATGTTACATAGATTAGCTGTACTTGATGAAAAAATATCATCAAATTTATTTGCATTAACACCAAAGCCAATATCAATAATTAGATGGAATGCTAAATATCAATCAATAAGAGCTGTCTATGAATCATATGATGAACTTATAAAATCATTTGGCACAATAGTTGATGATCGTATTCATTTTGACAAAGAATCTCGACAAGGAGCACATTCTATTAATACTAATTTAACAACATTTAATTTCATTACTTATTTAGTTTTTATGAAAAATTTAATGGCAATGACAAATAGTATTACAACTCAGTTTCAAGCTGAACAATTAGATTTAATTGCAGCTCGAGAGATATTAATTGAAACAGTTCGACTTCTAGAAACCGAACGTTCTAATGAGTTTAACTTGAACAATTTGCTAATCATCGGTGAAAAAATATCAACTAAATATGATATTGATCCGGATGTTGAATTTAATCGTAAACATCGAGTAAAACGACCACCGAAAAGATTTGATGATAATCCTCAAACAACTCATATACTTTCTCGGTAAGTGCAGTAGTTTTATCAAATGTTTTCCCTTTTAAATATGTTTTCGATTGTCCTAAGCATTTTGTATTAGTGAAAATTGATTTAATTTGTTTTACTCATTTAGTACAGAATACTATAGAAAGACATTTCGACAAGTTATCGATCAATTAATTACAGAATACAAACAACTTTTAATGTCTATGGATAAAAATATTGAGTCTTTAGCAGCATTATCTCCTAAGTATATCTTGAATTTTACTGCTACAGATGCTGATAATATAAGTAAAATGGTACAGATTAATGATAGTGACTTGTTGTACAGTGAAATACAATTATTCAAGGAGAAAATATATCAATGTGAAACGATTCTTAATGCAAGTAAATTTATTCATGAACGAAAAGCATCTATTCCATTAATTGCTCAAGCTTACCAATATCTTTTAACATTACCAGTGACGACAGCAAGTGTCGAAAGGTCGTTTAGTAAAATGAAGATCGTAAAGAACAGATTAAGAACTAAAATGGGTGATGAAAGATTAGATTCATTACTGACATGTACATTAGAAACATTTATTTTGGATCAATTGAAAAGTAACGAACTAGTCGAAAAATGGTCAAATAATAAAACTGGTCGTCGGATGCAGTTTGTTTAAGTTATATTTGTTTTTTTAGCTTTTGAAATATTTTCAATTAAATACATGAACGAACAATAAATATTATTTTATTAATTATTTATCTTTTAACAGTTTAAACTAAATTTCTAGCATTTTATAGATTTTTTAAATTTTCCTCCCATTTTATAGACTTTTTAAATTTTCCTCCCATTTTTAAAAATAACCCCCCCTAACTTTTATTGCTTCGCGCCGTCCCTGCGTGGTGGGTACTATTTTGGTTGCACTTTTCTTGTATCAAAGATGTCTTTTTCGACAAGACACTGATCACATTAATTCTCTCCAATAATCTGATTGGCGACGATGGAGCGAAACATCTTGTTGAATCAATACAAAATAATACAGTATGTCGTAATTTCATATCTGTTCTTTAATCCCTTGTTTTTTTCTTCAGAAACTCATTACATTAAATTTGGAGAACAATCGAATTGGTGACGGTGGAACACAAAAAATCGCTACTGCTCTAAACATCAACACAGTGAGTTTCTTTTTTATTGAAAACTATTGCAGTTGTTCTATATTTGATCTTTATCATTAGACACTGTGCAAAATTTCTCTCAATGTCAATGGCACCTATTTGTGTGTTGTGGTTGGCGTTTTGTATCAACAACGACGTGGCAATGTAATGGGCTCTTCTTGCCTTTTCTCATTCATCTTCATACTTTTCTAGATGCCTACCTCGTTGAATTTTTCAAAACATTGTATCAAGGATGAACAAGTTCTAATTTTGACTCAATCATTGACTGATAACAAGGTGACTTTTGCTATAGATTGAATTCTTTGGCTTACGTATACTCATATTTCAGTCACTTATTGAGTTGGATATTTCTTCAAATCAGATTGGAAAGAATGGGGTTCAACATCTCGCTAATGTCTTAGAAAATAATATAGCATCTCTAATTATTCTGGTATTTGCTTAGTCTCATTTGTTTTCTTTCCTTAGACACTCGCTTTATTGAGTTTGAACATGAATTTCATTGGAAACAAAGGTTTAAAATATCTTGTTGATTCGTTGATTATCAATAAAGTAAAAGAATATACACATCATCATATGATCATGCTCACATTGTTTTTAATAACTAGACTATAACTATTCTGAAACTTCAAGACAATAAAATTACAGATGAAGGAACTAGCTGTTTAATAGACTCATTATTAAGCAATAATGTATGATAGTCTTTACAATCATTACTCTAATGTCTTCTTTCTTTGCTTTTGAGCAGACTCATACCGAATTGGATTTATCTACCAATAAGATTTCAAACCAGGGCGGAGATAATTTAGCATGCGGTTTACAGTACAACAAAGTAAATATTCTCTGATATTGTCTCACTTGTAGTTTAAAAAAATTCAATATATTTGAGTAGTTATGAAATTATCGAATAATCTTGCAGACAACATGCTAAATATATGCCATTTGATATCTTTAAAAGCGTATTCGTTATACTTCTGTCGTAACCAATTGAATTGCGTACTTAGACATTGACTATATTGAATCTTTCTCGAAATCAAATTTGAGATTCAGGTGTTCAAAAATTAGCAGATATTCTACAAGTTAATAAAGTAACAAACTTTTCATTCGATGCTTACATACTGATTCTTTATTTTGACTACAGACATTGATCAATTTAAAACTTGTACATAATCAAACCAGTCAACGAATTCAACATGAAATAAATTCAAAAAACTCAAGAATTTCACCAAAATGATGTACAAGCGTTTATTGAATTGAATTATCATTATACGAGAAACTTTCTTCATATCATCTCATTCATGTGAATTAATAAAGATCATACTCACATAGCATGACTGACCATCTGATATCCATAACTGGATGCATAGTATCATAAAAAAGTATACATTTTAAAGAATATTAAATATGCAAATAGAATTAGAGGTTGGGTTTGTGAGGGTGTGGGTGTGGACGTAGGTGCAATCTCTTAATCCGAGCCTACAACCCCACCCTCTAGTGCACTTGAAAGTATCGAATGATCTTTCAACATGGTACAAACCAATATGATCGCGGAAATATGCCCTGTTATATGAAGTTTAATTTACCGTGAGTGTGAGTGTCGATGCCAGTATGGTTATATGAATGGATTTGCACCACTTTTGGAAAAACACATATCATATTCACAATGATCATCTACTTGAATATTTTATTGTACAGCATTTAAGATCTAACTATATCTAAGCTAGTTCTTTCTGTAAATCTTCACAGGTCGGTATTTGTGTACAATTTTCTAATGCAATACGAAAGAGATATCCAAGAACTGTATTTGACTTTAACAGACTCAGTTCTGTTGGATACATTTGTTTCACTTTGGGCAAGACTCCGCTATTATGATAATAAAGAAGTGGTGTGTTTGCAAGGTTCATTTTCGTTAATAATGTCTGAGATGAATTCAATTGTGTTAATGGATCATAGTGAGTTACTAATTGAATCACTGTTGACCGACCATGATAAACGATTGGATTTGTTAAATTCAGTCTCAACAGTTCATGAAATGTTGGTATTGTTATACGACCTCCCATCTCGCTCCAACCAAAGACATCGCGCGTGATATTGTTCGAACCATTGTACCTCGCATCAAACAATCTATGCACTTTTTCTGTATACTGACGGAAAAGTAAATGGCCTGCACGTACAGGCCCAAGAAAACCCATACTAATTTTCTCATTGTAATCACTATGGGTAACAATATCGTATACCTTCAAGTGATCGTAATATGTCTTCAGCGATTGCAGAGCAACTGCATCTATATCAAGATAGACGCCTCCATATTGTTCCAAGATGCGGCTACGAAAATAATCTGCACGATGTGCCGAGATGAAATAACGCGTTACACGATGAATGTTCTTAACGTAGTGTGGAAAGGTTTCTCTCGTAACTAATTTAATTGTAAAATCTTGATGATTGTGACAGTATATCGTTTTTAGAGAGAGACAAATGTGAGGAGGAAGAAGATGCTGATTTTCCAGTGTGTCCCAATACACCCAGATCGGAGGTTTATTTTGGAACTCGTAGACGTGAGTTTCTTCATTGAGTTTCCATGAAGCAGATGGGCTCTTAAACGATTGTATAAATCTTTTACCATTGTGTAGAATAAACAAAAAAGTGGACAAGAGAAGTTGAACGGTTATAAACAATAATAAACACTTCAATGTAGTCGCTTTTAGCCTCATATTTTTCTTGTTTTTATGATATGTGAGCTAAAAGATATCTACAACATATAGAATAGAAGTTCGGATTCATATCCGAGAGTTCTGTAAGTTATGAATGGGCTGTCCTATTAGTAATATTATGAAATTTTTATTGCTCTGGATGAAATATTAAAGAACTCTGTAAAGTTATTGTCTTTGGTCTAACTACAAATGTTTTAGAATTTTGTGGCTTCATAATAATAGTGTGCAACGTTTGTTTTCGTATTAACACACCTTAAGATTTGCTTTAATTTTTATAGCCTCAAATAGTTATTTTAAAGAAATTACTAATTTTGGTGCATCTCATAAAAAGAATTCGGAGGGTGTGGGTGTAAGCTCTGGTTAAGAGATTGCACCCACACCATGATCCTTTTGACGGTTTTAGTTTTGATATAGTTTTGGCGTTGGGTCAAAACCAAAAGCACTGTCAAGATCAAAACCAACGGCAAAACTAAAAGCATGCCTATATCAAACCTTTTTGCGCCCCACTAATCTCAAAAAATTTTCGAAGTTTCTGCGAAACTTCAAAAGGTTTGGTAGAATAACTATTCTTTTTCAGTGAGGCCCGTTGTTGGCATCGTCCATAATTGAGATATTTGTATCAGTGTAGTGCTGTTGGTGATGATTTTCGACATTGGTAATCCATGGTATAATCTATTGATGTGTCAGGCATCATTGATATTTGAAAAATGATTTATTAGCAATTGTGATGGGTCCATTTATATCCTTTTGTAAAGTATGCTAGAACCTCTGAGAAAGTTCTCTTCAGATAATCATCGACCATTCATGACTCATGATCCATAACAAAACGACCGTGAAAATTCTTGAATATTCTTTGCCTTTTGATCTTTAATTCTGACCATAGATTACCATTCATAGCGAATATGCCAGAATAGTCTAAAAAGTTTCAGAACATTCATGCAATCGTAGTTACGTATATGTATATGTGACAGTAGAGTTTGGAATCTAGTTGAGATCAAGGGGGAAAAGCTGAATTTTTGATTGGCCAGATTGGTTTGATTGCCAACGATTGCCCAAAGATTGTCAATGATTGCGGATGATTATTTTTCTTCTTCGATATCAAAAAATCATCGATTCGAGTCCTTTTTAGTCAATATAAGTTTGCATCTTGAAACATCATAAGAATATGACGAATATACTCGTCATTTTTCATAGGAAAACAGAGTATATACATGATGAAAACTACATAAATTACTGACACATTCTTAGCAGGAAATATACAAGCAAATTTTTATTTCTGGCGTTACAGAAGATTATCCTTCAAAAGTCTGTCTAACGCAGCGAAAAGGAAAGATGAGATTCAAATATGAAGAACTGGAATGGAAGTAGATTTTATCATTTGTTCATAATGCGCTTTACACGATCTGAAGACAAAGTAGACTTATCATTTGAAAGCACCCAAGCAGCTGTCTGTTTATGTAAATATATTTTTGTACCATTAATGTTAACGATAAAGTACGACTAGGCCAAGGTTGGATTAATGGAATCAAAAACTCGCATTCCTTGAAATGTAGTCGAACTAACTTTGAAAAGATGATTAGATACATAATCTTCGTCATTCTCAGTTGAATATTCATTATCTGTGCAATTGCCAGTAGTATCTTCATCTTCTTCACCACTACTATCATCTGAATCTGAGTCAAAGTCTGGATCATGTTGGTTAAGATGTGAATAATCGACTATTCGTGACTTTTGAAGTTGAAAACTAGCCAGTTTTGACATTTTTCTTAGCGATAAAATTTGATGTTGTTGATACATATTTACGTGACATACGAGACGACTTGCATAAGAATACGCTGGCGAAATAGTATTTTCAAGTGCTTTAACCATTAGTTGTACGATAGAAGTCGATGCTATAGATGATATTTGTTTAGAATCGACTGGCCTAGACTGTTTGCGAAAATGGGTAAATAAAAATTTATTATTGGAATCATTGGCGTCGCTATCACCAGCTTGATATTTAATAGAATTTAGAAACGATACGTTTTTTTTTACGGGTGTGGCTGTCGACGAGATCTTAATGTGTACCAAATGAAGATCACACCAACAACCACACCCATACCCATACAAACACGCTCGATACATTTGCTATTGGTAGAGCAGATAAGATGGTAATTACAGCTGGTAGAACTGAATAAATGATTGATGAAAATCGTTGAACTTGCTTGTTAATTTTTCTTGTTCCTTTTTGAGTAGTTTAATGAGATTATGAGCCGATGATTCAAGTCCTAATAAAAGTGCAATCGTTAATCGGTTAACGTAATGCACGAATGCTTTTTTAGATTATTTAATTGGTCGGATTCAAGTTAGAGTATAGCACCCAATAAAAAATTGTTAATTATATGAGATTCTATGAAATTACCATCGGATTTTTGCTCAACAAAATCAAAATTACAATCAATTGAAATCTTCGAAATCAAAAATAATTTGATTTTTAATGAAAAATAATCTTTTAAATCAATTGTGATTATGATTTTATTGCACAAAAATCCGATGATAACCTGTTAGAATCTCATATAATTTGATAATTTTTCACGAGCCAGTAACATATTTACATCCAAAGAATGACTCAACTCCGTCGCATTTTTGAAAAGCAAACAATTATGCGAGTCGCTTTCCAGAAAATTGACGAATTAAATCGTAAAACTCATCATCACGAAGACCCATGATATTCGAAGGAATTGTTTTTGTATAGATTTGTGAATATTTCTGGGTAGACATATTAAAAATAGCGGAATTAATAAATTGAACAGTATGTGGGTGAGTTTGTTTGAAAAGATGGAAATGAAACGAAAACAAAAAGAGAAAGAGATGTTTATATATTTTTTCGTTCTGAATTATTGTGTCACATAAGCACATGAACACATGAACACACGATAAAAGAAAAATATCGCCTTAGATTATATATCGAGTGTCAAGTGTTCGTCACGATTGACAGGGATATATGTATATAGTATAAGTTGATATTTATTATGATGATACAATACCTTCTATATTGATAACTATTTAAATGAAAATCAATTTCATTGTGTTGAATAAAAAGCATTTTATTCTAAATCATTGCTAATATTTGCGATTGATTGCCAAAGATTCCCAAAGGTTGCCAAAGGTTGTCAATGATTGTCAATGATTGCTTTGATTGCAATCAGCTTTTTCTCCCTTGGTTGAGATTGGAATTGTTGATTATTTTATAAATGTTGTGAGAAAGTGATTCATAGTAATAAAATTTTGTTTGTGAGTAATTTGACATAGTTTGATTGACAATGTAGCTTGAAAAAAAAACTTTTTTGTTTTCAAGATTTATTGTGTCTATTTTTCCTGATTGAAGAGAGAAAAACAACAAAAATTATGAATAGATGTTTATGTTTCAATGCTCGAGACATTGGGACATATGGGCATTGCTTTTTTTCTTTCTATAAACTAGGCATGCAACGAACTCGAACGGTTCGGGTACTGTTCATGACTACGTGGTCTAGAAAAATACTCGAACCGTTCGGGTTCAATGCATGCTTACTATAAACTCCCTCCAGGAATAAAAGACCCGAGGTCTTCTATGATAACAAAGCAGACGAAATTTCAAAAGGGGCTTCTATTTGGGGAGGGGCCTTCTACTTGAAACATAGAGTCTATGTTGATAGAAAGTTTTAGAAATCTTGAGATAAATATTTATTTTGAATCTTCTAGGTCACTATCATTATTTTCATCATCTTCGGATACTCGGACTGCTGGATAAGATTGTACTGTTGAATTGTCTTGTATATTCATGTCATCATCAGCGCTATCATCCGAGTTTAAACACAGGTTATTACCAATTTGAACAAGTTCATTTTCTTCTTCGTCGATAGCGGATGTCACCTCGATGTCACTATCATCGGATGACGGCAAATCATCATTTGAATCCATTTTTTGGGGGTACCGAAAGACAAAGCACATTCTCATCGTCGTCGTCCATAACTAATCAGTCGATTTAGAACAATGTAAATATAAAAATGAAGAATAAAATGTCTATCTGATGATGATTGGTGCTCGCCTCGTCGATCAATAATCTCCATAATGGCTCATGAATAGAAAAAAGGTATCTTCTCACATTTTTTCTGAACAGAGAGAAAAGATGGTGCGAGAGAGAGAGAGAACATGAATGTATACATAAAAAAAAAATTTTCTTTTCTGCACAGAATAATGGGCACATCAAGTAATAGCGAATATAAACGAATTATAAAGCTCGGGCCTTATATTAAGGCGACCATTCAAAATTTTTAGGGGGGGCTTCTACCCGAGGAGGCCCTTTTAATTCGGGAGGATCTTCTTTTCCGGGGGAGGGGGGTTCCTCGAAGAAAGAAAGAGATTTTTCCTATGTTTATTTCGAAGTACGAGCCTCGAGCAGCTGGGAAGGGAATGGAACGAGCTTTTAATTCGAATGATATTGAAGGAAAGTAAATGTTTTTTTAAATTTTTAATGAAATTAATAAAGAAGTTTCTTATATTAGTTCATTTGATGTATTATTATCAACAATGGTTCTTCGTTAAACAAATTAATAAGTTAATATAAAAGAAACTTCATAATTTATGGCTGATCATTGTCTGTTTCATAGTGGCAAAGATCGATTATTCAAACTCAAATTAATAAACAAATGATAACAAAGAATTAGATATTAATAGATTCTACTGAATTTTTAAAATGTAAAACTAGGATAAATAAATATTTATTTGATGATGTGACATTAATATCATAATCAACGAAGTATTTTATTTCCTTTTAATATTAAAGTATCAGTTGAACAAGATACATTAATAACTATATGACTCATACAAGCGATATGAGAGCGCATTGAGATAAATGAAAAATAAGAAATAAAATGTGTTTTTGTTTTGGTCAACAATTTGGAAAAGAAATCTAAATTATGATCAATTAGAAAACACTTTCCTAACTTTAACTCATAGATAAAGTTTTCATATTGTTCATATAACTTTATTTGTATTTTGATTTTCGAAATTCTTTTTACTTTACTTTTCTTCACTCTCTTTTATGTCTATTTTCTCTATCTTTAATTATATCTATTACTCCAATCTCAGCTAAATTCTCATGTCAATTGTAACATATACATAATTTTGGAGTGTTGTAAAAATTTTTATATCCTTCGACCATTATAATCTTTGACCCGGTACAGACGGACATACACACATACATACACTGAACATTATACTATATATAGATGATAGTGTCATGGCGAAGAATATTGTGATGCCATTTTTTTCCATCTGCAGCGCTTCGTAATTTGAGTTGTATATAAAATACAAGCTCATTTTTTCCCCTATCAAATGATATAAATAAGTAAGATCAAATATTTTTCTTTGATTTCTTCTCTTTCGATGGCATTGCTCGCGCCTATAGAATTACAAAGGCATTCATGGCAAAATGACCGTGCTATGGTGTCATCACAGTGTATGTTAACTCTGAATTTTACACTATTTGATAGGCCTTTCAAAGTTCTTCAAAATAATACTACCTTATGAATATTAATTTGCGGGTAAGATACTTCACCGAGACGGAAAAGATGTCAGAGCTCCCGGAAATCCTCTTTTTGACTCGTAAATAGCAGGTTTTGACGCAACAAATTAGCTTGCTATAAAAAGCAAAAGATATATTTGAGATTAGCGTACACAACGGTATGGTGGCAAATCAGCGAAAAAAGAAGAGCGAAAAAATTTTGAATGAAGAGAATATTCCAGCCCAGTACTTAAGTTTTTGTGTCAACTTGTTTAATCGATAAAGATATCCTGAATAAATAAGAATTAATTTAGCTCGATTAGAAGTGGTAAACGAGAGTATTGTCGAGTCAGCCATCATCAGTTGGTAAAATGGATTAAATCAATAATATATGTACCAATAGACTAATATCACTAAGCGGACGATTATACACAAAAAAAATAATATATCAGATTACAAGGTCGACAACAGCAGAACAAACGGCAACAACTATACTATACATACATCAGCCATGATGATTCATCATCAAACATACTCATACCAATCTTATCGAAAAACAATTGCGCTACTCTATAAAACCACTTTTTTCTGCTGATAATAAAATTTTGAAGTTTCGCTATTGTTTATTTTCGCCTAAATTAATTTTTGCTGTAACAATTTTCGCGCATTCTTCGCTGAAAATTCTCGTCGCTCTTGGATTTTTTCGCTCAATCGACACCATATCGAACCCTAAGGGGGGCCCAGCTCAATATTTTTCAGGAAAATGAAGGTTCATGAATCATTTTGCTATGTATATGGATGCACTTAGCTATTTATGTTAATGCCAAATATGTTATTTATTCTTATAGAAGGCCGCTGTCTGTAGTAGAAATTGATTATTTTTGAGTTTAAGGAAGAATTTTGTGCGCTTCGGCACCTTTTCCGTCTCGGTGAAGTATCTTACCCACAAATTAATATTCATAAAGTAGTATTATTTTGAAGAACTTTGAAAGGCCTATCAAATAGTGTAACATTCAGAGTGAACATTCACTGTGATGACACCATAGCACGGTCATTTTGCCATGAATGTCTTTGTAATTCTATAGGCGCGAGCAATGCCATCGAAAGAGAAGAAATCAAAGAAAAATATTTGATCTTACTTATTTATATCATTTGATAGGGGAAAAAATGAGCTTGTATTTTATATACAACTCAAATTACGAAGCGCTGCAGATGGAAAAAAATGGCATCACAATATTCTTCGCCACGACACTACAATACATATATAATTTTGAGTTTAAAATTATCGTAGACACCAGGAATACAGTAAAGCTGATTAGTTCGAACGGTAATCGATTCCTGATATTAGGTTTCCCTATTGGGAAGGAATAAAACTCAATTTAAACAGAAGGCCGATTTCAGTTCTTAACATTTCTCCTCCTTTGGTTTCAAATATCTTCCGTCAGTGTTCATAGAAGCAACAGAAGCCGGCATCTGACAAGAATTTATAGCGAGAATATCTTGTTCAACAATATCTGTCAAGAGCTGACGTAACGACGATCAATAATGATGCATGGGTGATTTTTTCGTTTGAGATACCAAACTAGTCTCACCATTAAATATTTATACTTCAGAGAAGTAGAAGTCATCGTCGCCAAATGCAACAGAGCACTGTCGGAATATCGAAAGTAAAGATATGAGCATTGAATCTGAAGCATGATTTGTTTTTCGAATTCCATGTAGAGTATAATGTTGCTCATCAAGTAACGAGATTCTACTTTCTGGATCTATGTTTGGCTAATCATCGACTCACAATCCAATAGAAACGATCACGCAGAGGAGGAAGACATCATATTTCATTTTTTAGAACTCATTCAATCAACTCACTCTACAATAAGCGCCACTATTCCTGTGTCGAACAAAACAACGGCATCAAGTAGATCATGTATGTTACTTTGCATCAGTGAATATTCTTTCTTTAAAAAAGCAGCTTTCTAAGTTCAATAATGCAAGCACTACTCAATGATAGAACCTCTTCGTCAATCTATTATCGGTCAACATCAACATCCAGACCCTCTATTCTGCCGATGGAGAATCCGTATTCATTATGGAACGTTCTTGGCTTCATTTTGGGAAACCTATTGCCTCTTGTCTTTCATTTGATTCAGCATGACGCCAAATAGTCACTCTCTTCGTAATTCTTTGATATAAATTTTATCATAGCACACGTTAGATGATACTAGGTATATTTCTGCAAAGCCTCTAGCCCTTCAATAATTTTGATAAACTCTTCATCCGAAACAATTACAATCAATATTTTTGTATTAGGAGTAAGCATTATGTTTTGAAGAGTATACTTGCAGAGTGAAATAACGAAAGACGTCTGTTAAAAACCTCTTTCTGGCGAATAATTTTCAAAAATACTAGCTTTCATGCTGTTAAAATGCAAGTCATCACGACGGAAGGATTTGGATCAAGAATGAGCACGTGGAGCGCCCCTTTAAGCATATTCTTGATTTTTCAATACCAGCTTTAGATTCAGACCATCGTCCACACCTACACACTCTAAAAAGGCAACAACATCGTTGATAACTTTAACAATACTATTTTTTCTCAATGAAAGGGTGTGCATCCAGAAGAAATTGATAATATTTTAACAACGCCGTTGATGAAATAAAAATTGAATAGTAAGCAAATTAACTTCAGAAAGAGCTACTCGTTGTTAATTGTTTTGAAACATTATAAGATTTCTACAAATTTTATTGACCACATTGTAACTCGGTACGACCAAAAGATCTCTTTGCTCTGCCATCTCAATACAAAACAAATAAATATATGGCGCTAGTGACTCATGTAACGGTTTTTTGGGTCAAAGCGCGTCTCCGACTGTTTGGGGTGATGATGCTGTATGCGTCAGGATGTGTCGAGAATGCAACATTTTCGGGGGTATAGGTGCGTGAAGGCTAGTCTGGCGCATCTACACGCGTTCAGTATCTGAACGGGTCATAACGCGTTTACAACTGAAGACGCGTTGGGATACGTCCGAAATGCAACAATTTCAGGCGTTTGAACACATTCAAAAAGCAAAACGCGTACAAACTCTTCTATATCCAGAAGGATTATGACCAGTTTTCGGATTTTGCTGTCTTTGGATGCAGTAGAATATGAACGTACCTTAACGCGTTTACTTTTTGCCCCAAAAAAATTAAAAAATAACCATCATTCTGTATCGGAATCGAGCCGACGCATCATAGTGAGCTATGCTATAACACTCAAATCCTGTGAGAAACAGAGTGGCCATTTTTCCAACCACAGCTTGAATGAAGATTTGAACGCACGACCAGTCGGTTACGAGCCGAACACAGCTAGCTCTGCGCCAAACAGAGTTCGCACGTGGTTCTATATTGATTAATCGCATCATTAACTCATATAATACTGCTTGCTGAAACTATATGCAAATAGAGTTGCTATATTTTCACTTCGTGAAGTATAAATAATTTATTTATCGAAAAAAATTAAGATAAGTATATTCTTGATATTCAGAAATAATGTTTTTATATTAAAAACAAAGATAACAGAATAAAAAAGTTCACTCTGTGATCTATAAATTTATAAATATGTGGTATGAAGGCACAGATTTTGCACTTTTTTCTTACTTACTAGCACGTCATCATCCAATCTTAATAAAAAGTGAAGATACTAGGAAAGCAATATACGCAAATATTCTTGTCTACGTATTTTTTTGTGATTTTGATATCAAACGGATTTCAGGTATCTGGAAAAAAATATGAAGTTTTTATTTAAAAATAAATCGTCATTTGTCTTAAACGCTCTTTTCTCTTGTGAATAACGTATTCATTTATCTTTCTCTTAAAAGAATAAATTTAAAAAAATGATATAACTTTATGTTTGTAACTAATAAAATTTCGAGATGCATTTATCTTTGTTGCATGAATTGAAAAGTTTCACTTCAAGTCATTTTATTATAGAGCACAATAAAGATAAGCCAACAACTTTATTTTAAAAAGCACTTGTGAAGTTCCGATAAAATGAAATAGTTGGAAATAAAAGTGTCTTGTTCAAAAGATTTATTTGTTTATCTAGTAATGAATGATGAAGAGGGCAACAACTTTAAGATTATAATCTACTGTCTGCCCATTGTGAAGTAGTTAGAAGTAACGTATAGCGAGACATAATTTCGATAATAATTTAATCTTTTCAATAGAAGGGTGTGGGTGTGGGTGTGGATGTACTTAGAAAAGATTCACAACCATATCCACACCCACACTCTCCATGTTATGCAAATGTGCAGTTATTATGGGTTTACGGAAATAAAAACTTGAGATTTACCTGTATGCGTCATTATCAACAGTCGGTGCGTAATCAAGATGATTAAAACGATACAGTTAAGAATTTCAATCGAAAGAGATTGATGGGGGGAAAACCAAGTAACGTGTCATCATTTTTATACGGATGTGCATGTTGCAAATCTTCATTGTATTTTGAAAAGTGCTAGACATGATTCTGGTGAAGAATAGTTATAAATTTTACTTTATACTTTATTCAACTTTAACCATTTTATTATGTATGTATCTTGTTTTAAGGATTCAAATTATTCAGCGATGTTGTTAATGTATTTATAGTTATTCCAAATACGAATGCTCTGATTTGTTACAAATGCAATAATTGCCCACATCCTTTTGACGCCAACGCCCCGGGAGTTACAGAAGTAACTGCTGAACGCGGTGAAGTATGCGGGGTAAGTCAATATGTTTAAAAGGAGCACGTTGCTACTACAAGAATGGGAATGCCTTGGCTAAGAGAAGATTTCCTGTCATCTATTGCTACCGGGAACGATTATTTATTCTACTTCAGACAGTTTCTTCGTTCTTTCTGTATGCGATATGTTAAAGTAATTTTTAAGTTGATTTTTAAATAGATTGATCGCTAAATGTTTTTAAATATTATTTGATTGTTCCTTTTTGCGGAAAAAATAATGGTTCAATAACGTATAGTTCAATAATAGTGTGCGTCAAAGAGACTTTCTACCCTGAGGAGATATTGTATTATAACAGCCTCAGTAGTCTTGAAGTGGTTTTCCTCCATCTAAAAAGTTAACTTCAACTGATCCTTCGTCTAACTCCTTTTCCAGTATTTGTCTATAGATAAAAACTAATAGATATTGTAAATCACCAATCTATTTTTTTATTTTTAGAAATTATCGATTGGTCCTATTATAAATAAAGGTCTGTTTACGGTTTGTGTGGGTGGCCTAAATCACTGCGAGCTTGACTCAATACCTGGTACCGGAGGCGCGGGGGGCGTATGCTGCTGTAATGACAGAGATTTATGTAATGGTTTACCATCAATTCAACCATGTTCAATATTGACTGTTGCCGCTATAGTGGTAGCATTTTGTCTGTATCTTAATTAATTTTTTAAAATTATTCATGATTAATAAATTGAAACATGTGTTTTTAAATATCTTACAACGAGGAGCAGTCATCCTATTCCGCAATGTTGAACATTCCGTAACCAGTTCCGCCACCGGAATCAGTTCTGTCGATTCCAGAATTAGTTCGTCCGATTCCGGAATTAGTTCGTCTGATTCCCGGAATTCCACGGAATTCAGTCCAATTCCGGAATTAGGCGAAAGCGGAGTCACTGGGAATTCCTAGGAATTACACGGAATTGCTAATAATTCCGGAATTACAACTTGTATCACTATTCTAGCTTGTTTTAACCATTTTGTGATGATCCGATTCCGGTCCGGAATTTCGGAACTAGGTCAATACGGAATTCCGTTCAATTCCTGTTCGACCTAATTCCCGGAATTCCGTACCGGAATTGCATTTATCACCGAGCTATAAGATATATCAAGTGTCCATTGATCAGTGATCAATGATCACTCAATTCCGGAATCGCAAGGAATTAGACGGAATGGGTGTGTGGGTGGGGGTGGGTGTGGGTGTGGGTGTGGGGTGTGGGTGTGTCAAGCAAACTACAATCGAGATTTCGACCTTGCTTAAAGGGTGTGGGTGTGAGTGTGTGGGCGTGTTTCTACTATTCGTTGAGACAAACACCCACACCCACACCCCAAATTTTTCTCTTCGACATTATTCTTTTTTCTTTCGGCCAATTTGATAACGTTACATTTTTTCATTCGTTCGACTTTTCTATCTGGCAATGCCTATTCCATTGGTTAGTTCAATTTGAATTTAGTCTAGTCCGCTTGTTACCTGCATTATAGGACAACATGACGACATCCATATATATTCGTCATATTGTCCTATAGACGTCAATGAGAAAATACAAATAGGTTGACATAAAAACATTGTATGAGTTAGATATGGACAATTTAAATATACTCGATTTATCTGATGAAATTTTATTCATCGTTCGTAAAAAACTCAATATGGTTGATATTCTTTACTCGCTTGTGAATGTTAATCAACGATTTGATCGATTAGCACTTGATTCTCTTTATGTTCGTGAACTTAATATGACTACTATCTCGACTAACAGTTTATTGTACGATCAAAATCCTACAATAGATACTCAAGTTCTTTCAAAAATTTGTGAAAAAGTCTTACCTCGAATTCATCATCAAATACATAAACTCACCGTTGAAGAATATTCAATGAAACCAATTCCTCTTGCTTCCAATTATCCTCAACTTTATTCGTTATCACTTATAAATTTTCAAGAAGAAACACTTTATCAATATTTAACAAGTATAGTATTTTATTTTATTCGTTAGAATTGAAAAAATAGTCTACTTAATTAGATGATGTAATTCTTCGTGATCTTTGACAAAACAAATAACACATCTTAATATTGATATTAAAAACCTAAAACAAAGTGGGAAAACTGTTTCAAAGATATTTGGATTAATCTTATCTTTATGTAAAAACTTGATCGCCTTGAATTTTTGTGATATATTTCCTACACGAAAATATTCGGCTCCTCTTTTTTATCTATTACAAAAAAATGATATACCTTCAACTTTAACCAAATTGAAAATCAATGTCGAAAATTTAGTTGATTGTCTTTATCTACTTGATGAACCTCTCGTTTGTTTATCAACATTAATTGTCAATGTAGAACAAATTTCCCATCTACTACCAGATATTGACCCAACAGTAAGTAATTTGAATGATTATGTTTAGAGAAAAAATTAAAATCCTTAATTTTATTGTTTGCTATAGAAAAAATTTCCACAATTGAAACATTTTTCATTCACGACATTCGATCGCGCATCTGAATATGATACTCAAATTGTTCCATTGCTTAATCGAATGATAAATCTTGAAGAATTGCAATTATATATATCAGTTGGAAGATATGACTCGATTTATATTGATGGTTATCAATTATATGATCAATTTCTTATCTATATGACACAATTAAAAAAATTTACATTTAGTATTACGATAAAGGTCTGCAATAAGAACATTAACGTTGAACTCCCGTCGAATTACGATATTCAACGTAGTTTCATCGGAAGAGTTTATCACGAAGTAGCTTCATATGTTAATACTAAATCATTGCTATACGACGGCGAATGTCATATCTATTCACTTCCGTATGCATTTGAATATTTTACTAACCTCAACAATTCTTTTCCAGGTGGCATGTTTCATAAAGTTCGACAACTGACGATGGATGATATAATTGCTTTTGAACATAAATTATTTAAAATCATCTCTCAAGACTTTCCTTTTCTCGAACTCCTATATGTATCTAATAGTTGTCCACTAAAAGACAAACAATATTCGTCCTCAACATTAATTACATTTCCTTATCTCACATTTCTTGATCTCACATGGACACACGTTGACTACGCAGAATTGTTTCTCTTGAAAAAGAATATTGATCTACCTCGTTTGTTAAATCTCTCCGTGGAATACAAATCACTGACAACCATAACAAGTAATTTTACCGACGATGCAACATATTTTAATTTCGATAAATTGAAAAATCTTGATGCATGTGAACCATTTGATCGTCCAGAAAATTTTCACCAATATTTTCCTTTGCTGTAAATTGTTTCAATAAAAGTAAAATACGTCGAGACAGCTAAATATTTTTCATTTATAAAATATTGGAACAAAAAACACGAAGAACTAGATAAAATTCGAGTTTCACTCGACACTACGAAATGTGTGATACTCACATCTCTCAACGAGTAACCATGTTTGCGATTGAATGCGCTACGTATTATTTCTAGAATCCAATTAGTTTTTCCTATTAGTATACTGAGCAATGTTGAATAACGATCGGAAAATTGATAATTCACCAAAGTTTTCCCTCAAATTTGATATAGCACATGTATTCGATTGAAGGCAAGTTCTAATGGATATATTATATTTAATGCATCGCTAGCTAAATATATTTTAAAATTAACATTACCACACTAGATATCCATCAATAAGTAATGGAATACTATTTGCAGTAGAATAAATATCATAACTGTTCAATGTTTGACTAACTAGCTGTCTTCCACTATCAAAGTGAATCATCGTTACACACTATCTATTTGAAGGACTCAGTTTGAAACATTGATTATGCGATTAGGATCTGAATCGAGATATGAATCATCAAATGAATAGCAAGCAACAGAAGTAGTTTCATCAAAACTTTCGCTAGTATATGCTTAACACGTGACATAAATCCAAACGAAGATAATCATTTCCTACCGCTACGTTTTTATATCTTATATGTAGACTTATTGATTGATAAGATTTTTTTATTCGAGAATTATAGCTAATTCGATGCGATGAGTATAGAGTTTAATAACTATGATTTATTCTTATCACCTGCAACATTTTTACAAGCTTAAATCATCTCGATTGGCAAGGAAGCACGTCCTACCACTTCTCGAGAGCTTAGCTAATTAATATCAGTTATTGTTATAGATAACCTGCATTTTCTTTTCAATTATTCTCTGACATATATAGCTTTACTTTAAAAATCACCTTTATCTTGTACATTCAATCGTAGGTGCATTATTCACTAATACTTTTTTCACCAAATCTTAAACTATAAATGTTCATTTTGTAATAATAAGCAGAGAGAAATTATATCTGCAAAGTAAATTTTATATTTTCATATTAGACAGTTGATTCACAAGAAATTGAATCTTTACAGATTTTTGATACCTACGTATATGCATATTAATAAAGGCAAACAACACAAATTCTTCTCATTTGCATCATATAAAGTTGTTCTATGCTAGTGAAATTACATGGTAGTAACTTGCAAGTATACAAAATACTTCATTATTGAACTAAAATTATCGATATTATATAAGGTATAAAGTAAAATCGTTCTGATTTGAACGAATTAACGAAATGCAATCTAATCACTTTTAACTGTTTTAATTTAAAAAAACGAAAAACATCATTGGTAACAATCGATCATTTTTGATCTTCAGAATATTGATATCGACAACTATAAATTTAAAAATAAACTAACTCAATATAGTCCGTGAGTTCTTTGAATATAGACCGAAGACTATTACTAGTACAATATACCAAATTAACGGAAAACGTTTGAATGTCGAACTTTTTTCAGGAACGGTTATAGCTTCATCCAATTCAATTAGATTTAAAACAGAAGAGCCCCATTTTTTGTGAGAAAGGTTTTTTTTATCGTTTTTGAATGAATAAATGTTTTCAGTAGTAAATCCACACCAAGAGATTCATTATTAATAGTAAAAAGTCAATTTATAAAAAACCATTGTAAATGATACTACGTCAAAAAATTCAATATTGGGGTATATACTACTGATGTCCAATCCACTCAGCGATTCCGGTTTAGCATCGATCGAAAAAGCTTACTTTAATGTCTGAGTACATGAGTTTCAGTTAACTCAAAACGCTATATTCTGTTTCAACAGCTTGGTTTTGTCTGTGGTTTCTTGTTGGCTTATGATAAAGAAGGAAAATACATCAACAACAAGAACTGAGCTGACGAGCAAATTGAGGTAAATCGTAATCGTTCTATACAAGAAGGCAAGCAGCAAATATTTTCAGTTTTTCTGATCGCTTTCAAACAATACCAATATGTTCATAGCATGAAGCAATGCTGATACTATTCGATCTGATTTGCAAGAACCTTTATTTGTATATACTCTGCAATGTATTTTCGAGCTAGTTTTGTATTTTTACACTGATAGCAGACGTCGTACTCGCAACATCTAAGTAAAGGACAATCATTATAACATGACGGAAACTAGCATTATTGAAACAAATCTGATTGATACACTGTATAAGTCAATGCATAGATCCAGTAAAATTATTTTTCTGAAATAGCTCTACGAGGTAAGTCAGAAGCCAATAAATTATGTTTGGTTAGTCCTGCCATTCCTGCAATAGTAGATACGTGAAATAGTCTGTCATGACATTGTCTAGAAAACTCCCCGCTGACAAGATTGTGCAGTAATCAAACAAACTCAAATTTCGTACATTTCGTTTTGACTACAGATTCCAGGTAGATCTTGTCTCATAAGCAAATAAATCTATAGCTTCACACATTCACGCCCATGAAAACATACTCATAAGCTACAGTGATCGTTTTCATCTAATTTTTGTTTATGAACAAAACTTCAACTATCTTTGGCTTTTACAAATACTGATATTCAAGTAAAACATATAAATAAGTTTACCAGAAAATTAGCTGGATTATTTTTCCTTTACATAACATTGATTCTCGATCTGAAAAAATCGTGGGTGCGGGTATGGGCAAAGGGAAGTTTCTCGAGAAACCTTGCGAAGCCTCATTGGGAATTGCGTATCGTCATTATTTTCAGTTTGAAAAAAAATACTACTTTTTCTTTAGAAAAGAATGAGCAATTAATGATAATGTCGATCCTGACAGTCTTTTGTAGAAAAGGCATTCTTTATTTTCTTTTATTATGTATAGTCCTGGAGGGAGAAGAAAAAAAGTGCACACACACAAGCATTCACTGACTTTCTCAAGATAGTAATGTTTATTTTCAAATCTTGATAAATAAACAGTACAAAGATCAAAGAAAAACACCAGACATTCTGTATTAAAATTAAAAATCAAATAAGCTCGAACTCTTGCTTAATAGTGTATATATCTTATACGTGACACTCTTCCATGGCCACTTAGCTATCAATGACACCGACGACATTCACAGTACTTAACTGTTCCTCCAAGCACATACCAATAACCATCAGGATATTTACGAGAAGGAGGAAGGCAACAATTGTGGCTACATGTTTTACATTTAGTGTCAGTGCCAGGTGTATTATTCCATCCTTGTATCGCTCCTCTTACGATTGAACCTCCCATGTTTCAAGTGCTTTAAATGAATGCAAATGTCAACGGTTCTCCTAAAAATAGATAGTTACATTTTTTATCTTTCTCGCTCAGAAAAAGTCATGTTAAAACTAATTTTAAGGAGAATATCGTCTATTTCAATACCACCTAATTCAAAAATTACAGAAATGCCAAATCAAAGCGCTCAAAACGGTTTTCTTTTGAAACATATTGGACAGAGCAAAAAAACGGGATGAACTTGTTACTTAATTCAAGGATAAAAAGGTTTTAATCGGAAAAATTAAGCTAAATCAAAAAGATGAAGTACTACTAATTGATTTTCCAATGTCAGATAGACGAAAAAAATGAGGGAGTGAAGAATGTTGCTTCGTGTCCTGTCCCGTTTTTTTCCTATTGCTTCTTCTTACTTTGAACAAGGTGGTTCGTCGACGCTGCAACAATATAGTATTCTCTTTTTCTGTCTAGTGTTTACTCTCTCACTGATGTATACAATCCGAGCGCAGAGGGAAGTGAATGTACTTTTTTCTCGTCTTCTTCTTCGCTGATGCACTTGCCACTCCATGAAGAGAGAGAGGGGCGGAGAGCCTTTGACTGATGCCATGCGAAATGAAAGAGAAACAAATTTTTCTTTCCTGCTTACCACCCACCTCATTTCATGCATCCGGACAAAAATACGCGAATACTATACGATTCGGAATGGCTCAATTTTCTGTTGTAAAACAACAGTACTTCTTGCGGATTAACCTATCTGTCATTCTATTTCAGGATTTTTTCTTCAAATCATCGTTCGGTTGTTGTCAGGTAAAATAGCTCGCTTGTTCAGTAACATAGGGACTTCCAGCGTTGATACAAAATGCAAAGGCTATAGCCCCAGCAGCATTTAAAACGGTAAATAAAAGAAACCCTAGTTGAAAAGCTCTGCACTAGAGGATAACCAACTCATCAGGGCACCGTATATATTATAAGGATATTGTAAAAGCCGTCGCGAACCTAAGATAGAGCTTTCCAGACTTTCCGTTAGAATTTACCTTTACGATACGCAAAACTCAAAATTTCAGCTCGCCTCAGTTGAGTAAGTAGGATGAAAATGCTATCAGCTTCCGAATGCTCGTAGAAGGAGAAGAGGAGAGAGAATAAGTGAGAGAATAGAAAAAAGGGCTTTTATTCTATTAGGTTTCCATTTCACCCAAGGGAACGAACGATTCAATTCACAATCATGATACATATTTATCCAACAACAATATTATGTCATGGTTTTTTCTCTCTTCCTCTTTTTTTTCGGTTTGTTTTTGTTTCTGTCTGCTTTGCATCACTCTTTAACTTGGTAGTACAAGAGAACAGAGAGAGAGAAAGAACACAACTGGCATTTAGGCATACGATCAGAAACTGAAAAGGTTGTTTCCACCTTAGTGTATAGCGGCAGCGCCAGGAATTTAGATGTCGGGGTGGGGGGCTCAGCCAAGATCTGCAAGTTTCAAATAATAGAGTACTAGCCTTACGAATTTACTTTACTATCTAGAGTGATTTTTGATTTGAATAATGAATTAAAGCAGGAGAACTCATGTTCAAAAATATTAGCTATATTATATTTATTGATAACATCTTGATACAAATATACAACTTAAAGCAATAAAATTCTACAATTTCCATGATTGCTAGAAAATTTATCAATTACACTTTCATAATTTATCTCAAAATCCCGTTCAATAGCCATTACTGTTAAGTCACTCAAACGTTCATTTGTCATTGAATTTCGAAGATAATTCTTAATTAATTTCATCTTTGAAAATGATCTCTCACAAGTTACTTGTGAAATTGGCATAGTTATGGCATTGGTTATCATTTTTAACGTTTGTGGAAATGCATCTGACATTGAAATTAATTCATTATACAATTGAATAACACCCTTCACAGTTTTCGATTGAAGCATCGGTTTAATAACAAGAAATTCATTTTTGAGTGCACTCGAATTTCCACCAATATGATAGCAAAATTCATCGATACCCAGGACGATGTTTCCGGTCTCCTGAAATGAGCGGATTTAATTGGAACCGGCCAGGAACATGCAGGAAACGCACCGGAACGTGCAGGAAAACGCCGGATATCACCGGACCCTGGAAGCCGTATTCCGGGACGGATTTTCCCGGTGATTTCGGATGATTTCCGACGGGAACCAACATGAAATTGGCGGAACTTACAGGAAAAATCCGGAGATTTCCCCGGCCGGTTGCTTGGACCTGGGGTATCAGAAAATCCCATTTTTGACGAGCATCGATTTGGTATAAAATTCATTATATACTCCTCTCTAAAAAAACACTTTCTTATTCCCTAGACTGAAAGGATAGGGTCTAGAAACCGTAATTCGCCTGTGTCTGTCTGTAACAATGGCACAAATGACCATTTCTATGGCACAATTGACTATTTCTGTGGTACAAATGACCATTCCTATGACACAAACGACCACTTCCATGGTACAATTGACCATTTGCATGGCACAAATAACCATTTCTATGGTACAATTGGCTATTTCTGTGGTACAAATGATCATTTTCATGGCACAATTGACCATTTCTGTGGCATAAATGACCATTTCTGTGGCATAAATGACCATTTCTATGGCACAAATGACCAATCTTATGGCACAAATGGCCAATTCTTATGGTACAATTGACCATTCCTGTGGCACGATTGACCATTCCTGTGGTAAAATCGACCATTTCCATGGCACAAAGGACCATTTCCATGGTACTAAGGGCATTGTTACGGCACAAACCATGGGTGGCTGCAGGACGTGGTCACGGGAAACAGTCCGCTCTGGATATTTGGTAAGTGAAGGGGCGAACTGATCCCCTTCACGGAACTTTGAGCTAACCATCACGATATTTCTGAACCTTGTTTTTTGTAGCTAGGTAAGACTCAACCTCTACGCCGCCTTAAGGGTCTTAGAGTCCTATTCCGTCCATGTTTCGTCTTCCCTTTTAGTGCTTTTACTTGAAACCTTTAATTTTCGTCTAATTCTTGCTTCAGTTTCACTTGTGCCCACACCCCTTTGCTGATCTGTTTAAAAATATGACCACCAGCTGCTGGCACAGACAACCGATTTTCTGTCCTATCCATGCATTTATTCTCCTCAGCACTGTCAGTCTAGGGCCCAGTGAATCGACTTTCGATGTCGATGAACGTTACTTGTGGGGTATCAGTCAAATTGCTCGCCCACATATAATCACGGTTTATAATATAGATTAAAAAAACTACTCGTTAAAACTAATTCAAATTTTCAAATTGGAATCAGCTCCTGATGATATAATATTTAATTTTATGTTCTGACGAACTGATTTCATTTATTTCAGATCATTTCCTTTTGGATAAAGTGATTTTTGGTTAGTGCTGATCTAGTTGAAGTGTGATATTTTTGAATTGTTATTGAATATATTACTTTAACTTAATGGTTTTAATGATGACGGTAGTGAGGTTTTTTGTGTGTTTTTGATAGTTTGAAAAGTCTGGAGATGGAAACTAGTAAATGTGACTATGATCTTTTTTTGTCGAACTAATAAGGCTTTCTGGTTTGGATAGGATCTTGATGTGAGGGTATAGAATGATTGCTACAGTATAAATTTATTTACCTTCTTCTTCATCTGATTCAGGATCAGGAGTAAAACAAGTAATTGGAGGTAATATCTTTATATTTCCTTTCAGTTGTTTTATTAAGTGCATTGATAATCGTTGATGTAATTGTGAATCATATAGTTGCTGTTGAATTTGTTCTTGAATTTGCATATTGGTGTAGACATTGTTCACTAACAAGAATCCATTGTGGATACGGTTCGGATATAAGGGCACGCTGCCACCTCCTAACATTTGTAATTTATGAATTTCATTAAATTGAAAACCTGTAACATCGATACCCAGGAGAATCTTCCGAGCGTCTGAAACGGCGCCTTAAAAGGCAGGAAACGGCTAGAAAACGGTGAAATCAGGCGTCGTTTTTCACCTTATTTCGCCGGAATCCGTCAGCTCGTTTTAAGGGCCGTTTTTTTAATAGAAAACGGCCATCGTTTTTTTCCGGTTTTGACATCGTAATCCGGCCTGACGCATTACGGCGCGTTTTTAACGTTTTACACCGTTATTATGACGTTTAAGGCCGTTTACGGACCGTTTTCTTTCACCTGGGTATGTAATTTTTTTGGAAACAGTAATTGTAACTCATGGGCTATTTGTACGGCAATGTGAATTACTGTTGATGTAGCACTATATATTGACGGAGCATAATCTTTTGATGTATGTTTTAAATAAAAAAAATTTTCTTTTTTTTAAAATACCGGGAAGTAAAAAAGAATGACATGGACCAACAGCATCAGTTTTAATTGTTGTAAAACTAATATTTCCCTGATCATTGCCGACTTTAACATCAATTTTTTTATTCATTTTTACTAGAGTATCAGTTGAAATTTTATTTAAATTTAGTTCAAGATCTGAAGGATTTATTTACCTGCATCTGATGTTGATGTTGGATTTGTTGAATCTGATTTTTCATGATGACAACTGTCACTCATATCTAATCTAAAAAACCTGAATATTTGAAATCTTTTTTTAATGTGTGAAAAATTTATTAGAGGAATAAATAGGAATTTTTATTATTATTTAAAATTTTGTATATTGATATAAAAAAACGTCACTAAATTGTAATAAATAATTATTTTATTTATTAATAAATCTAAACAAGGTAACACGACGTTTGCGTCGCCAACTCTCTACTGAAAGGATTTAGTCATGTGGAACGTAGCTATCCAAAACTATCTAGCTGAGAGACTTCACATTTTATAGCTTCGAAATGATTTTCATGTAAAAAAAACGATTGATAACCGAGCATAAATAGAAAACTTGCTTGGAAGTATCACCAAGAAAGCGGCATTTAATTACTACTTACTAATATTTTATGGCGATAATGAATTTAAGTGCATCCGATCTGCTACAGCTCAAGCTACGCTCCCAAAAACTTTCGATCAACTTAATAACGGAGTGAAGAAAAAGACCCATTCATGAGAGCTATGATCGAAATACTCCATTTTAGTAAAGTTATAACTCAAATTGGTCTATGAACTAGATATTTAACATGAATCTGCACGAGTAGATCAGAAATTACATCAAAGTGTCTTTTTCTAACTCGATTTC